AAAATATCATTAGTTAATTAGGTTGCTACCCGACATGTCGATCGGGTTAGAACTTTATTGAATGCGATGCTAGATTGATGAGATTCTCGATTTCGAGACTCGACGCTAATTTAATACAATGCCATTATAAAAAATAAAAAATAATTTAACTTGGACAATAAATAAACTTGAAAAATAAATTTGGAAAATAATTTGACAAAATTCATTCTTAGGTGATATATTTTTAGAATTTAACTAGAACTGGTACCTTTTCTCGAAAAGGATGTTTTAAGTGATCGATATCTTCCTAAAGACATAATCAACTCCTTCCTTTAATCTCCGAATCTAATGCCTCCTTTAGATTTCTTACTTTCCTTAAATACTAAGTGAAGACTCTAAAATCTATCATAACTCTTATCCCTTAAATCAAAATAAAACAAATCAAAAACAAATAGTTTTTCATATTTGTTTGAAAGTCTCTTAAATATCGGTTAGCGACAACATGATGACTTCACTAAGGATTCGAGTTAGGCCATAGGTTTAGTCTTTTTAAAATTTATCTTCTTTATTTATATTTTCCATTTGTATCCAAGCTATTTATTTGCCAAGCTTTATTATTTATTTAATTTCAAGTCATTTATTTTATTCAATTTATTTTTATGTATTTAAATTTTTGTATTTATTTATTGTGAACTTGGATTGAATATATTTGTTTTGTATTGTTGCACACACACCACAGGAAAAGCTCGTAAAAGTTACGGACCCGAGTTAAAACTTTTTTAGATTTAGATAGAGGGATTTAGGTGGCAAGTATGATAAAAATTTACTAATACTCATCTGGACTCTCATTTGGGTTAGAACTCACTTTATGCATAGAAAATTATGGATTAACCTTCCCATACCTCTTAGATCATAAGGTTAGAGGTTGGATTACCCCATTAGTAATTTAGAAAGTCTAGGAACTTGAAAGGCCTTTAAGATTAGACAAGCTTCACCTATATCCTATTTAAAGGATTTTAGGATCAAGTCGAAGCGAGCCTAGTTTGAGGAGGGAGATTGTTTGCCCTACTGTTTTGTATCAAAGCTGCCATAAATGATAGGACTTGGAAATAATGAGTAAACCACCGAAGAATAGCTCATACTTTTTTATATAAGACTTAGAAACATCATAGTCATTGTTATCTTGTATCCTGATTTGAAGTTATGGAGAGAGTAGAATATGGATTTATTATGATAATATTATGAGCGAGTGTAATATAATCTAAATGGTTGTAGCATTTATTTTTAGGAGTCATTATAATATAAATCAAACAATTGTACTATTTTTTCTTTTCAATGAAAAATAGCTTTGAGTTACATTTAGAATGTGCTAGAAGTCAAAATAGCTCTAACTCTATCATGATTTGAAGCTCTAATGTCAAAGCAATGTATCCAACTCGATTCATGTTTTGGATACATGTATTTATGTTTTTGTATATTTATTGTATATATCACATTGAGACAATAAATAGGACTAAGGAACATAGACCACACTTAATGAAAGCTCCACTCGCTTCAACACCAACAATTTGGTCGGAATGGAAAACCAAAACAGAACCCATGATAAGCGAAGCGTTCAACAAGAAGTTGTTTCTTTGAAGAATGAGGTGTGGCGCTTAACTAGTTTGCTTAAGAAGGCTCTCCAATTCAAATTACCAAAAAGTAAAGCCTTAGTGGTAAAGGATTAGTCCAAACAAACTGATTTTAAAATGCCATCTTCATTCCACAATAACGGTTTCTCTGTCGATTTCTCTATGTCTGTACACTCTTTCCATGATGGCCATTTATCTAGAAGGACCTTCAGTACTTTCTCAATCAAGCCACGTGTCATCACCTTTTATTTGAAATTTTCTATTTTTACATGCTCTGTATTTACATGTAGCCTATTTTCCACATCTTTTGAATCAAACATAGATCCCTATTGGCTTTCCCCAAGTTAATAAAGAGGTCGAAAAGAAACGAGGTTAAGATAGATAGGTCAAATTAATTTCTTATAGAAGATGGATTCAACCGAAACTTTAGGCAACCAATTCTAAGAGGAAACGGTTCCAACACGGCTAATTAGGGAATACAAAAAAAAAAAAAAAAAAAAGCAATCTCAATGGTATGACATTTTTTAGAAGGACCAATCTTTATGGCATGAGAAAATAAGATGTTGAATCCATAGAGAGATATTTCAAGAGATGGCTAGAAGCGGCTATTCGAGCATGCAAACCATTGACTTAGTCGAACTAGTTTATATCTTTATCAATACTCTTAGATCCCTATATTATGAATATATGAATGGTGGCTCTGCATGTCGGTTTGATGATCTCATGAATGTGGCAAGAAAAATAGAATATGGAATAACTCTAAAAAAAGCCAAGGATTCGGACAACATTCCAAGTAAGATGGGTTTTTGTTATGATGTCTCTCAAATGAGGCTTAATATCCATGTTGATCCTCTAAAGGCTCATGAACATGTTTTCAAAAGACGAGGGAAATTTTTCCCCCTTTACCCATATTTCGTCATAACTCAAATTATGACCTCTACATTTATTTTTATTTTTTTTTACAAATTTTTCAAAAAAAAAATGGAAAAATTAAAAATTAAAAAGAACTAGATGAAAAAGACCCAAAAAAAAAGTTAAAGGAAAAGAAATTAGAGGAAATTAGGGCAAAATTATAATTATTAAAGAAATAAAAGTGCTTGAAAAGAATGAAATTAGGATGGCATTGAAGAGAATTAAAAAGAAAGAGAACTAAATTGAAAGAGGCGGTAGAATATAGGGACAAACATGAAAAAAAATTATATAAATAAAACGACACATTGTTTGTCTCCCTCATCATTCTAGTGTGCTTTTTTCCCCTTCTAGTTTTTGCTCTTTTTTTTTTCTCTCTCTCTCTCTGTATTCTAGCTTAATTTTTTCCTCACTGCCATCCCCGAATATATGCTCTCTTTCATTATGCTTTAAGTTTGGTCGTTTTAAAGTCTTGAAATTTACCAGTGTTATTGCACAAAAATCCCTCATGACATCCCACATTTGATTAGCAAATCGGATATGAAATGGATAAAAATCATGATAAAGTCAACATTTTCAATGGCAATGATTTGGTAAAATCATAAGGTATAGAATGAAAGTGTTTTCGAGTTGCGAGAGATTTAGAGTTATAGAATTTGCATTGCATATATATGTGCTTACAATAGTCTATTTATATATATATGTTTATGAGATTAGTTACAACACCTATACAAATAGAATTATAGCTAATGGTGAACTCTAGATGGAGTGTTGTCCTTCTCCTTATCACTCCCCCTCGAGGTGACGGGAGGTTTAAGGACTCGTCAACTTGTCTTTGAAATATTGGAACTTTCGCCCGGAGGTGGATTTGGTGAGGATGTCGGTAATTTGATCATTTGTGGATATGTAGGAGACCTAGAGTTCCTTGTTAGCTACTTTGTCTCAAACAAAATGGAAATCAATCTCTAAATGTTTGGAGTGTAAGTGAAATATGGGATTTGTAATGAGGTACGTGGGACCGATGTTGTCACACCATATAATTAACGCATGGGGAAGAGTGACCCTAAGTTCTCGAAATAAGGAACATAGCTAGAGTACTTCGGAGGAAGTGGTTGTTAGGGCTTGATGTTCTACTTCGTGGAAAATAAGGCTATTGTTCGTTGTTTCCTAGAGCACCAAGATATTAGGTTGGAGCCGGCATATATTGCAAAGCTCGTTATGGATTTTTTATCATCTAAGCAACCACCTCGGTCCGCATCACTGTAAGCAAAGATGGTGCGGTTGGATTTTCCGGAGAAGGTGAGGCCGTGAGTGATCGTATGTTGTAGATAACAAAGAATGTGTTTTACGACCTTACAATGATCATCTATTGGAGCGTGCATGTACCGAGATAAATGGTTGACACTCGAATAAGATGTCAAGCCGTGTAATGCACGAGTATTGAAGGGCTCTTACAATGCTACAATATAGGTATGGGTTAGAAAATTTGGGTCTTATTGCTTGTAACTTGGTTGCTAAGCATGATGGTGTGGAGATTGGGTTAGACTGGTCCATCTTGGTATGAATCAATAAGTCTTTGATGTATTTATTTTGTGAAAGGAACGAGTCTTAATGGGTTTCAAGCAACTTCGGTACCCGAGAAAATAGTGAAGTGGCCCAAGGTCTTTTAATGCAAATATGGTCCGAAGCTTATTGGTTATTGCAGCAATAAGGGTAAGAGTGTTGCCAATGAGGATGAGGTTATCAATGTAGATGAGACAATATATTTTGGTGGAGCCAAAGCAATAGATGTAGAGAGAACGATCGACCTTTGAACTCCGTAAAGTCAATATTCATCGGGGAATCAATGAGACACTTGAACCATATTTTTGGTGTTTGTTTCAAGCCATAAATAGACTTTTTAAGTTTGTAGATGTGGTTAGGTTTGGAGCTATCAACAAACCCAAAAGGTTGCTCCATGTACACATCTTTGTCAAGGGTGCCATGTAAAAAGGCATTAGATACATCCAATTACATAATTGGCTAACCAAAGGATACAACTAAGGAAAGAACTAGATGAATTATTACCGGCTTGATGACTGGGCTGAATGTGTCCACATAATCCACACTCGGACGTTGGTGGAAGCCTTTGGTAGCAAGGTGAGCTTTGAACCAAGCTATACTTCCATATGATGTTCTTTGATTCGAAAGATCCATTTGAAACCAACAATATTAGTTGCATTTTGTTTTGGAATGAGTTCCCAAATGCCATTACGCGATAGGGCGTTGAACTTTTCCTCCATGGTGCGGTGCAAGAGGGATATTTAATGGCTTGAAAATGGGTGAAGGATAACCTAGGCGACAAGATCCGAGAGGTTGTTTAGTTTGAGTTTTCCGGTGGTGGCTCTTGTGGTCGTGGGGTAAGTTTTGTTTCGATTTGAAGGAGGGTTAGGAGTCATGGGAGACAGTGGTTTTGGGAAATGTTGGTCCGTTTATGGGGGAATGAGCTGGGAGACAGAGCAAAGACGTAGGGGACGAGAGGTAGAGGATGATCGATATGATATGTTAGGGTTATTGGATTGAGTGATGCAATTTATATGAGAATGGGTTAGGTGGTGGGGTCGTGGATCTAGATTTATGGAAGCGAGCTGATTTGGGATGGAAGGTGTTATGTCTATCGTGGGTGAGTAGGTGTGGGTTTGGTTGTCCAAGCTGGATGGGCATGTGTGGTGTAGGTTGATTGGAGTGGGTAGAGTTTGGTTTAGAGTGGGTGTGCATCTGGTTTGGAGTGGGTGTAGGTTGGGCTTGGTTTTCAATGATGGACTGATTGAGTGAGTTGGTTGGTAATGGGTTTGGTGCGGACCGGCGGGAGTTGTAAATGGAAAATTTAGCGAGGCTTATAGAGGATGATGGACTAGGTGCGGGAGCATCTTTAACGCACTTGAAGGGGAAAACACTGTTCATTGAGTAAAACATGACGTGAGATATAAATTTTTACGGTAATAGGGTCTAAACATTTGTATCCTTTGTGTAGTTTTCTATATCCTAATAAGGCACAAGTCGTTGATCTAGGTGTAAGTTTGTGAGGTGTATAAAGACATAACCGGGGGTAACATTGGTAATAAAAAATTATAAGGAATTCATAGTTAGGTTGTTTGTGAAAGAGTGTTTGGAAGGAGGTTTGGTTATTTAGTAGTGGTGTGGGAAGGCGATTAATGATGTACACTACGGGGTCAAGTGCTTGAGGCCAATAGCTTAATAGGACGGATGTTTGGTTGAGTAAAGCAATGTTGATTTCAACAATGTGGTAATATTTACGTTTGGCACAACCATTTTGTTCGAGTGTGTAAGGGCAAGAAGCTGCGATGGGTGATGCCATTGTCACACAAATATTTGGTCAAGGGTTGAAATGCTCCACCTCGATCGGCTTGAAAAGTTTTAATGGAACGATTAAAGAATTTTTCAACCAGATTACAAAATTTAATAAACACACTTAGAACTTCATATTTGAAACGAATAAAATAAATCAACTATATTCTATCGAAGTGATCAAAGAAAATGACATAATATCGTGTTCCTTTAGAAGATTAAACTAGGGAAGGACCCCATAAATAAGAACAAATAAGATATAATGGACCTTCGACTTGAAAGCTAGAGTTGGAAAATGGCAATTTTTTAGCCTTGCTAGTACAACATATATCACATAGACTAGGAGGCATTTTATTAAGAAACAAAGTTAATGAATTTTGTAATGTATGCCTAATGGTACGAATGGAAGCATGGCCAAGTCTAGCATGCCATGTTGGTAGTGATGCAATATTGGCATGAACAAGCTCTAGCTTGGAAGATTAAAATAAAGAATAAAGGTCGCTATTTAGGGACTCGCGATAAAACTCCCCCTTCATCCGAATATCTTTGATGATAAAATAAGATGGAAAGAATTCAATAGAGACTTCATTAGATTTAGTAAATGAAGAGACGGATAGTAAGTTATGATGTGCTTGTTGAACATGTAATATATATTTAAGGTGAAAGGAACTGTTACTAAGGGAAACAGAATTGGATCCGATATAAGAGATGGAGAGTTTAGAACCATTACCTATTTGGACTTCCTCGAGACCGAGTTTCGAGTGAACATGATGTTCTCCAAATTAACGAGTTAAGTAATGTGTTGCACTTGAGTCCAAGATCCATGGCTAAGAATTGGTCGTCATTAAGGAGGTGGGTGAGTCTGTTGTTAGTTCGGTTTATGTTATGTATTTTTAGGCTGGTACAATTGCTTGGCTATATGGCAAAAGCCACAACGGTTAAGGCACTTGGATTAACCCACGAACTAAGTGCGAATTAGAGGAACCGGTAGGAAGAGGCAATATGCCTCTTGTGGTGGAAGTGACCCGTGTTAGAGAAATTTGAGGGTCGGCTTCTTCCATGTGGGGCAAGGTGTCCTCTAGTTCTACCTCTCCCATTACCGTAGAGAATTTGGCGAGTGGGCGATGAGGGAATTGGATCAAAGGTTGTTGCATCTTTAGCCGGTTGAGATTCCTCAGCTAAGGGGAGGTCATACAAATCATCAAATAAAACATGCTGCAAACATGCTTCGAAGTGTCACGGAAAAAGGGCTCGTAGGTCTGGACCAAGGCCACATAGGATGTACGAAATTAGATCATCTTTAGGAATATGATGATTTTGGGCGACAAGCTAATCGGATATCATCTTGGCACGAGTCATATAGGTGGATATGAAGTCATTTTTGTGATCAAGATTATGTAAAGAGATCTTGAGTTAGCGGATTTGAGTTGTGGGACTAGAAGCATAAGTTTTGGCAAGCTTTTGCCAAGCATCATGAGCAAACTTTGCTCTCACTATTTGAAAGAGTGTGGACTGCGTGAGGGAGCAAGCAAACTAGCTTAAGACAAGCTGGTCCATCCGGAACCATACCGAATACTCTAGGTTTGGAGCTTGGTTTGCAAGATATGGTGGTAGGGGAGCATTTGAGGCACCAATGTGATGGGCTAAGTTATGTCCACAAAGAAGGGGATAGAGCTGAATGTACCATAAGAGTTAATTGGTGGAGTTAAGCTTGATGGAAAGTTGATTTGTGTTAGGGAGAGTTGGAGCTATGTTGATCCGTGAGGCTGATTCACTGAAGCTAGGAGTAGTTGAATCAACCTCTAACATGCTATAGAGAAAGGAATTAAGAGAGGATTTTTGCTGATAAGTGAGGCAAGAAAAAGAGCGAGGGAAGAAGAGCAAAGAGAAATGAGGAGTTAACCGATTAAGTCCTTTATAGCTACGATACCATGAAAGTGTTTTCGAGTTGCGAGAGATTTAGAGTTATAGAGATTTAGAGCTATAGAATTTGCATTGCATATACGTGTGTTATAGTAGTCTATTTATACATATGTTTATAAGATTAGTTATAACGGCTATACGGATATAATTATAGCTAATGGTGAACTCTAGATTAAGTGTTATTTTTATCCTTATCGAGAAGACCCTCTAAATACTATAAAAAGGAATATACACACAATGCAAAGATATAGGAAAAAGAAAAGGAGAGCGAGAAAAAAATAGAGATAGTAGAGAGAGGCTTGAACAAAATTGCTCTAATGAATATACCAAGAAGCGTTAGAAAAGGGGTGGGCTTTTAGTCTTATTTTGCCTTCATTTGATTCAAATCGAACATTGTAACCATATCGGGTATGATTAGTTCTTCTTCTTCTTCTTTTTCTAATCCTTATTAGTAGTATTGAAATTTGAATGCTAGATTGATAATATATATCATGTTAGTATTTTGCTTGATTTTATTTTTTCCTTTATTTATTTATTCATTCATTCACACCATTAGGTTTTGTATTCGTTGTAAGTCCAAGCTATATTAATTAAATCTTGCCTAGCATGTGATGACGAGTGCCTTCCATTTTAATTTGGCTTTATTTGGCTTAATATAACATTATAAGCAAGGAACTTGTTGTATGTGATAGACATAGAATTAATGCGGAATCATGTTATCCTTGGCCTAATGAATTTTAATTGATTAATTGTTGATGTGTGCTTGGTATTACTCCAAAAAAGGAAAAAGAAAAAGAAAAACAACTAAAACTAAAGTTTCTACACAACTTTCTTATGCCCTTCCTTCCCTATTTAGCTTGGATTTTAAATAGTATCAAAAGAAAAATAAATGGGATGATGCATAAAAGGGGTATTACATCCATTAATAGCAAATAAATAAATAGGACATTCATTAATGACATGAAGTAGTTCCTTTCATGATTTAGGTAATTAAGAGGGACATGATTGAAGAGTCCATGTTTGGATTGGACATCATGTTTGTTTGATAACAAATCATGAAGGAATTAGGAAGGCAAAGAAAGAATGAGTACTTGTCCATATGAGAAAGACAAAATTTGAAATTCTAGTATGATGTAAATATGCATGTTTTCTAATTGTGTACCAAATTTTAGAATTTTTTTACGAATGATCGAATGTTCATTTGAATTTTTTTTGTTTAATTTTATATAGTCAAATAATAAAAATTAGGGGGTTGAATTGATTGTAAATTGGGCAAGTTTCTATGTGTTAAAAATCTATATTACGACATTTTTTGCTCCTAAAGTATTGCATTTTAGCAATTTCAAATTTAAAATATGAAATTGTATAACTTGAAACTCAAAGTATAGTGGATTGAGCAAATTTGATCCAAATTGCTCAAGTTTCATATTTTTAACGATCAACTATTAGTTGATCGTTATTTAATTATTTTTTTTATTGAAGCCTAAAGGAGCCGAAAGGGTAAAGACGAGTCGTCTACCTTTACCCTTTCGGTTCATCTCCTAGTGTCCTTGAGAATATCTATAGGGGAAGGTAAAGATAAATATGTTGCAATAAAGTGCTTCAATCATCAATGTGCTTGCCCCCACCTTTAAGCATTCTTACAAATACTTTATCAAGCCCATTCAAATATGCACTCGAGTGAACTCTTTCGCTTGGTAGTTTTCTCTTCCTAACCATAGTGAAAAAAATTACTATAATGTACGACTTTTTTGTCTTCCCTTAGCGTGTTCAACCATACCCACAAAAGAAAAGTTCAATCACACTCGCCCCAAGTAAGCTTCAAGTAGAAAATAGGTGGTTATATATGTATAATTTTTCCTAATATGTAGAAAAGCTCATAATCCTATAAGAGAAAGGAAGCAACATTTCATATTCACGCCAATATCAACATTCTTTTGGGCATGGCAATAATAATAGCCTCCGGTAGCAGAACATAAGCTGGCCATTAAAATGTTACATAAGCAAAATGGCCCTCAACTTTAGAATCACATCTTTAATTTGTTATTGCATATCTTTATGAGCTACACGAGATAAAGGAAGAGCATCTCCTAAAATCAAGTCTGCATGTGCCGGTGGTTCATCCGCACTTGACGCCTCCTCCTTGAAAACCACGTTAGTTAGAATAACAAACATAAAAAGGGGAAATTAGTTCTTCTCTTCAATTTATGATTTTTCTCAAAACTACGAGTATTTAATTCCTTAAGCGCCATCAAACGAAAGAGCCAAGGAAACAATTGACCCTAAAAACCACATATTCTTAATCTCTTCCCTTCTCTCCTTTTCAATCAATCGTTCCCGGTAAAACCTAACTTTTTAGGAAAGGAACCGTAAGGGTAAAGGCGGACGACATTTTATCGGCCTTTACCCTTTCGATTCCTCTCGGCTTCAACTAAAAAAACAATTTAAGTAACCATCAACTAACGAGTTGATCGTTAGAAATAATAGAGATTGAGCAATTATCAATTTAAATCAAATTTGTTCATACTTTGGGATTCAAATTA